TCTATTAATATCATAATATTATCAATATATTAATCATCATATTAATTTACACATAATTTGCACATTATTTCTGTGGTTACTATGTCAGTGGGAGTTTCATTTAAAGCGAAGATAAAGTGAGACTGACTAAAATTTAGACCCTTTAAAAGGAGACAGAAAATGGCTTTGAAATAAATGAGCTTATCCATATCCTATACGCACATGTATTATGTACATATACATAATATGCAGTGGCAGCATATCCATCCCCATCCATACAGACAACTGCAGATTATAGACACCGTGAACATGTAATGCCACCTGCTTTCAAAATAAGTATTGTCCTGGCTGAAGTTCTAACATGCACATGGGATTAGTGCAAGGTTTCAAGGTTTTTAAGGTACTCAGCCATTCCAGTCCTGTGGCAAGTCACCAACTGCTAAACACTTTCGAGACTGTGTCACAAAGGGAGATACTGACAGATTAAAACCATGCAGCTTTCAAGGCTAACACAAACTAACATTTCCTCTTAATGCCTGTGCCAATAATTAGGGGTTCTTTTTCCAGGATTGAGTCATTATCCTTTGATAATACACTGTTTAAAACTAATTCAGTGTTCAAGTTAGCAGTATAGCTATCAATAACCACATGCTATTGTTATCAACAATAAATAAGACTCCTCTTGCAAGAGAAGTCATTAATGATTAACCAAGAGTGGCCCAGCTCACACTGACAACGCAAAGATCCCTACAATTCACCTGACTGCTACACAGATGTGTCCCTAACCCTCTTTGATAGCAATCTCTTTCTTTTTAAAAGAATATGAAAACACATTACCTTAAAGAGCTAGGTTTCCATAACTTGTGAAATACTTTGTAAGCCCCTGTAATTGAAATGACACGTGTAATTGCCATAACATGCAATCATTCTGACAAACAACATCTTGTTTGCCTGTGGTACCCCTCTGAATTACAGTTTAGTAACACGGCACAAAGGATGCCTAAACCATGAGTAAAAGGAACCTATCGCTTCAAATTAATGGTTTTCAAAGTGTTATCACCTCAGAGTACTGTCATGCTATGTGTTTCTGCTAGTCCTTCTGAAGAAGGGACAACTCCTAGCTAATGGCAACTACAAAGGAGAGAGAGAGAGTGTGTGTGTGTGTACATGTGTGTGTAAATACCTACAGAAAAGTGTTGCAGAATGGGTTCCTCAGCCCACCCCATTTTTTGGGTAACTTCTATGATGTGTTCATCTATGTAGACTCCTACAGCTGTTGGCTCTGAGCCGTCTTTCCTGTTTAGAGTTCTCTCAGCTCTAGGGTCTCCCGGTTCTTTACATTCTTGACCTACCCACCTCTTGGTTAGCTCCCATTTCTATTCTGGGAAAAGCTTTAAGTAGTCAAGGAAGGAACAATACAGCTTCAGGCTCTATTTTTTCAGACCCTTTCTTCAAGGCTTTGTGAGGCTTTTCTTGATTCACAAAGAAAACCAGAACATGAAAAGCAAATCCAGTAGAACACTATGTTATATATGTCCTCAATTCTGCCTCCATTAGCCAAGCTGAAGGGTAGAACACATATCCTTTCTCTACTGCTCTGTCTTGATTAACTGTGTGATAAGTTAGTTCATCTATTTGCCCTTTCTTATAGCATCTTTATTCTATGTTAGTTGATAGGAAATCTAATTACACAAAAAAACCTCAACAGTCATATCAACAACTTTCAAAAACAAGAGAAATAGAAATAAGCTGTATTTTAAGCATAAACATTATGTTGGCACTTCCTACATGTTTCAAGCACACAGAAGAGGTCTCCTGAAGACTCTTTAAGCAGCTTTCCATCTCCGTGGCTTAGCAGTGCTTTACAAATGAGACCTCTCAGCTTTGAGAAAGCAGTAACATCACTCGTTACAGCAAACAAGTATTTGAAGTGAGAAATCCTTAGCTTTTTGTTTTATCTAAATGAGCAAATGTTTACCATATAACATTTCCTAAAGGGGAAAAAAAATATTATTTCTCATCTGTATGTTAACAACATTTTCCAGTGGGATCTCTAGACCTCTCTAGATACAAACACATATAAACACATAACCTCTGCCCTGAAAATTTCACAGTATGAATAGGCAAAATAAAGAAGGAACCATCCCTAATTTGCAGATAAGATTTAACATATGAATGAGTCACTCACTAAGTCTATAGGACAGCTAAGAACCAAATACAAGTCCCTTATTATCCAGCCTAATGCTCCAAAAGACACAAATCTCCTAGTTAAAAATTATTACTCTTGTCTTCTTCAGATTTTCTGGGTCCTACTGTTTCTAGCCTTTCAGGGGAGAATTATGATTTATCAAAATCAATGTTTAGTCGGAAAAAGACAAAAGAAAGTAGGACAGGTCATGCAACTCACTGTTAAAATTTTTTAAAAATGTGTATGATTGCATAAAAAACCCCAACATTTCAACATCTTTCCTCTGGGAGTACATTCCATGATATTTTAGAATATTTTTGTCAGTTTTTAAATAAAATCAGTGTGTGCAATAAAGCTCCAACTACAAGTTATTGCTTTTTTTTTTTTCATGTTTCTTCTCCCCTCAGAAAGAGGTGTCTCTTAGTAGGCAACCATCAAAAACTCCCAGAAAAGCTTAGTGCTGATTAAAATTGTACGTACATTTTCTCATCCACTGTTAACTAACTGCAATATCTAGTTTATTCTGTTGTTTTCAAAGTAGAAGCTATAAAAGGGATGCGCTTTATCTTTACTGAGCTTCTACATTCTTTCCAAGTGTTTCTTACATGAAGAACCTTAAATATCAGTAACTTCATAATAAAGCTGATCTGCTCCTCCAACACATTTACTCTTCCTAATTCTTTTTCCAAAAGAAAATTACTTACCAACACAGATCAAGTGAATTAGAGCCCATAAATAACCGTTTGGATCAAACTGCAATAAAGAACATCTACATAAATATATGCACGTTCATGTAAACATACGTATCGTTATTTCCCCTGCAGTTAGCTTCACAAAGCAAGTACAGCGAGTGGGAGCTATGCTACAACGAAAGAGAAGACGACTAAAGAAGACTAGGAAGACTAAAGTTTTTCCTGTCCCACTTAGAGACCTGGCATATGCCAGTTACCCAGGGTCTCAGCTAGTCTTGGCAAAGATAGCTCTATTTCTTTCAGATATGTACACCATTTTAAACCATCTGAGAATACAGACCCCAGTCTGTTTAGTCTTGTACTGGCAGTCAGGGAGGGGTAAGAGGATCAGAGGAACATCACTACGGTTTTTGTCTTGTCTCCTTTCCCCTCTCAGCCCCTGCAGGAGCTAAGCAGTCTCTCTCCCCAAGGCTCTCACTAACCACAGAGTATCCAAAAGAGTGCTTTAAACAGACATCTGCCTCTGAGCAAGGTGGGCTCTCTTCACAATCAATTGGGAAAAATAAACATTTTTGAGAGGAATTCACCTGGCATATTTTAGATGTCTTCTTTCAGGGGAGATGAATTATACACCAGAAGTTCCTGCTCTGCACCATGGACTACAAAGGGAGCTAGTACAGATGCAACACTTCCGATGGCTACATTCGATCAGGTGCATCCAGACAAGTTCCTAGATTCATCCCACCTGACTTCAGATATTAACTAAAGTATCTAAAACAAGGAAGCAGCCTTCTTAAGTCTCCAAAAGAGAAAATGACCTCCAAGGAATAGATCTTTGCTGGACTGAGCTACCCTCTGGAGGTACTTCCTTTCTTTCTCCAGTAGCTACACAAAGCGTGTAGAGTGATTACAAAGCTAATTTAGGAACCTCCTGAAAGTACACGCAATTAATTTAAACCTAAGTGATTTGCTCTAAGCCCTCTATGAACTTAAACTATGATTTCCCCAGCCACCAGCTTCACCAAAGAGCTGCACGTCTGCACTGCTCAGAGGTTTTACCATGATGCAAACACATTAAAACCAGCAAGACTACAACACAGCAATAGGCAACATTTACAATTCCTTTGCAAGAGTCCCACCCTAGCTTACAAGTAAAAGCTGCATCCCTCATATGCTAACAAGATGTCAAACATCAAGGTCTAACTAGAGCTGCTTTACAAAGCAGAGCTCACCTGTGTGTCACATAAAGGAAGGCACACTGCTGCAACCAGGAGGAACAGCACACTGTGGAGAAGAAAAAACAAACAAGTCCAAAAGCTTGTAACCTGGATTTGGACTCTCAGCAAAGTATAGGCAATTCCACTCAGTTTTACACTGACATTTCATTTGTTTAATTTTTATTCCATATTTTAAAAGTAATTTCTGCCACCAGAATTAAGTTTTCCATCATGCATTCTTCATAACTCATACACAGCAAAGCTGTATGAGAAGAGAAGCAGCGCAAAACATCTCAGCAGTGATGAAACAAGTTTTGTGGTAGGGAATATTATTCTTCACTTGCCATCTGGCTTCCCTAGGCTGCTTCAGAAAGCCAAAATCAACCAATTTCTGGCTGTGAATGGCTACCAAAAAAGTTCTTTAATTAAGGTGAATTGCCTATTACAATAATTCCAGCAGAGGTAACTCCATTAAAAGTTATGGTGTAACTCCAGAACACAGAGCAAAGTGGGAGTGAGCAGTATTACGCTAGAAGTGGCTTAAGGACAGCACAAGTCCTCCCCTAGTCCACTGACTTGGACTAAATAGATTCTTAACCTATGGCTGAGTCAGTATTTCTACAGGCTACACTGAATATACTGATAAGGAATTTCTGTGGACTATCACTATTAATAATAACAAACATTTGCTTTTGCAGCTTATTTTCCTGCTCTCTAGGGGCATAGGAAAGGACAGAATAAAGATGATAAAAAACCTGGTATCCTTGAAAATAATCCAGTAGTGAAAACAAGGCCATGGTAAGTCAGATAATGGAAACAACAGGAAGAAATGAGGAAGGTGGTGCCTCTAAGTACACTAAATAATAACCCAACATTATCCACTCTAAGTACAGCTAGCAGATTACAGAATGTGGAAGACAACAAATATGTGTTCTTCAAGGGGATGGGGGGGAAGAATGAAACTTTTAATACATCACTGGATGACTTCTGTTTGTCCCTTTCTACCTCCTTTTTGAAGCTTAAACAACTAGGGCCAATAAGGGTTGGTAGGTTGCATAGCTTAATCTGAATGATTCTAGCAGAACTGGGTATCACTCACCTTTTCTTTCTTAGGAAAGGCATTTTTAGCTATTTTCTATCACATTAATTATCTTTCTCTTACTATTTAAGATTACCCACTGGAACTGCAAACCTGATTTCTATCTCCTTTCCAAAAACATACTTACAAGCACTGCTTTGTTATTGAGGAAGACTGGCCTTCTGGCTTTTTTTATTTTTATAAGAAGAAAAAAATGTATCTATTTAAGCAATTGTTAAAAAAAAAAAAAAGAAAATACGTTTTAAAAATATTTAATTACTCCTATGTTGCAATTTAGGCTCACCGCCCACGGGAATGTGCCTTACATTCTTCATTGTTTTGGTGTGCCATTATCTGAAGCAAATACAGAAGCTGGAGCCAAAACAAGTCTGAATCTGAATCTGAGCAGTTTTAAAAGCTTACCTACAGACTTTCAGATGAGAGGTCTGCTGTAAAAAAGAAAGTATGATTAAAAAAATTAAAATTTGAAAATAAAAATGGTGAAATAGTGCTTTCTCCTTCTAAAATCAGGAAAGTGATGACAGCGGATCTTACTGCACCAAACACATTAAAAATACAGTGAGCAACATTCAACAGCCCACTATGTTTGAGCACAGCTTAGCAAATTTAATTTCAGACTAAGAACCAGGACTACAGATTAGCCTACTTCAACTTGATTTATATTTTCAGATTACTTACCAGCAGGTAAACCTAAAACCAGACATGAACTTTACACCTGGTCCTCAAACTTAACTTGAACTATACCAAAACTATGTATTATATGTACTCAAATACTGAGTATTCTTAATTAATTAGGTACTACCCCAGCCAAATCAGTCTTGGTCTAAATTCATGCGAGTTTCCCGATCCTTTGGTCCAAAATTATTCTGCAGAAGCTTCCCAGAAAGACCTGTATTTGCATTATCCTTGTCCATAGTGCTTTTGTTTTCCAAGAGAGGAGACAAACATGTGAGCTAGAAGGAAAATATGAAACACTTTGTCAGGGACACTAATCAGAGGACAATGCCACAGGGACACGCCATGGTACACACTGCTATGTCCCTTAGGCACAACCTTAGTGACCTCTTCAGTTTGTTAGGAGTAGCAAACATGGGCCATTTATTTGTCTTCTACATACACATCAGAGGTAATGAAAGGAAGATCCCTTCCACAGCAAGCTAGGAGCCACTGTAGAAACGACTTTGTGATGAATGATTTCCCAGTGTTATCTCACACAGCAGTTCTCTGGTCAATTAGAAAACTACTTCATAGCCTAAAAGGAGGATCCCCAATGCAGTCTGTCAGAAACAAACCCAGCTCTTACTAAAGGGAGCAGGAATTACTTTCCTGACTTTAATAGGTCTTGGGACAGATTCTCAAGCATCCAAAACAAATCCAAAAATGCACTGTTTTTCCTGCATTTCATGTGGAGATATGATCTATCTATAATACAATACATCAAATACTAGATAGATTATACTGGTCAGATCTAAGGACCCAGTCCTCCTCCCTCTCTGCTCAAACAATGAGATTCTTACGTGGGGCATGAGAAAAGGGTGATACTCATTTTCAAAAGGGAAAAACAAGCAGGACCAAGTCAGTCTTAAAGATGCAGATCAAACTGTCAATACACATTTGCAGTGTTTCATCAACTAAAGGGGAAAAGAAAACATCAGGATAGATAATTGTCAACAGCAAAGCTCTCTCTGGGTCTCACTAATGACTAGCTATTACAGCGAGCCTAGAAAAGCATACGGCACTAATGCCTGTATTAAAAGAAATTAGGTGTCTTGCTATAGGGCAATTATATCAAGGAGGTACCTTGAATGTATCAATTAATAGATCAATTACCTCTTTCTGCACAAACTTCTGGAACCCACAGGTTATAACTTCTGCCGCGTTGTGCACAGTGAGGAACACCGGGATTGGCTGCCATTAGGAGAGAATAAAAACGCCCAAATCAATGCAGAATATAGGAAGGGGCACTCCTCTTAGGGACAGCTGTCCCACATGTTTGTGGTTTTGGGTTTTGTTTTTTAAGCTGTAAACCCATGCCACATCTCCTAAAAGGGAGTTAGATCCATTCCAATCACTATTACATGGCTCAGGCATCTTTAAATGCAGACCCTGCTTGCTTCTTCTCCCATTTTTGAGTGCTCAGTCCGTTTGTTTGTACACAGCTAGCTCAATGAGATTTGCTCTAAGTTTCTGCCTCTAGTTTTGCCTCTCTGTTCAAATCTCTGCAGCCTCCACAGCAAACAGTCTCATTAGTCTTCCCATCTCTGTCTGCTGGTACTAAGAATACAGTGTGACTCCTAGCAACAGAATTATGGGCAAGATGATTTTAGGTGATTGCTTTCAGTTACTGCTAGGAAGAGCTGCCCGAAATTAGGGTAGAAATGTAGTAGTTCATACACAAGTGATGTTGAAATTATACCCACTGAGGTATCTGGACACAATCCCAACATGAAATCATTAAGAAACAAACCCCAACGATAACAATAATGAATCAAACACCCATTGCTCCAGGCAAATTCAACCAGAATTAGTGGTTCATAATACTTCCTCCAAATCAGATCCATGGTCTCTCAGACAGTTGAAACAGAAGCAATTCTCTGCTCCGATTAAGATAATCTAAAGACTAAGGCAGTTTTAGGAAGCAGTATTTCCCCACTTGTGTATAGTATTTAAATCACACAGGAGAGAATGAATTAATTTCCCAGTGATGTTCATGCCTTTTAAGTATCAGGTGATATAAGCAGCAAGTATCTCTTAAATTTGACTTTGTATTCAGAAATCTGTATTTTCTGGATTTTTCTTGTCATTCCCATAAAGCTGGATAAGCATCGCTAATTAAACATTTTAAGTCATAATGAGAACTTGGGTGGATCCATAAACACAACAGTTACACCAAGATAACTTTTAACACCTCTAAATTAGCAAGGAATGGAAATCACACAAACGCAACTGGCATGAAGTTGTCAGCCCCAGCTTCACAAATTCTGAAAACCAATTCTCAACCCTGTTGCTGGACAACTGAGAACATAAAACCAGAAGTATCTAACATAAGCATCCTGAGCCTGACACAATAATAGGAAATACAAGAAATAAGCATACATAAGGAAAGTTGACAGCAGAATTTACATTCTTCCTTTTGTGAAGCCAATTTATTGGGTTTTTCTTTCCTCCCCCCTGCTTTTGGCTCTTCCAAATGTGTTTTGGAGCCAACAATGGCTCCAGTTTGCCTAGCCCAGTTAACCTTCTCCATATGTCTATTGTCTTTGATGTGAGTATTTCTTAAATTTGTGAGTGGGCTTAATGCTTATGAAAAGAAAGGTTTACTGGTTGGGCAGGCAGGGTGAATAGACTCTGTACAAACCTCCCCTCACAGCTTTGCATACTTTTGTTAATGCATCACAGTCCAGAGCTAAACAGCCCTCCTCCAGTTCCAGCCCTGAACTCCTGGGCAGGGGAGACTGCCAGCACCTCTAGGGAGAGGCACAAACAGAGATTAAGATTGTAGCCCCGCCAGTATACAGAAGTGTTTGAAAGTGGGTCTCCCTTGCTTTGATCAAAAAAGTGCATGTAATTTCTCCTTTAGGAATTAACCCACTTAATTCAAATATGCTGCTGAGGTGAGCCAATTCAGGTATGAGTTTGGGAGAGTCCATTTTCCTTCTCACCGTGTCATAAAATTGTTGTACGCTAAGTTATTGTAAGTAAAGCTTCTATGTAGGATTTAATTTAGCCCCAGTACAAGGCATTACATAGTAACTATGGCCTAAGACTACTTGTCCTTTTGTCTCTCCTCCTAAAACGGCCACAGAATTAGGCCTCTAGATCCCCATTCATGTACAACAAAAAGCCATTCAGAAATGGGAGATGCTTCTTAAGAAAGCATACAAATCAAAACCATTCACAGCCCCTCTGCCACTCCAGTGCATCCCACTCTTGAATGACCAGAGCAGGGATGGGAGGGAAACAAGGTAACTTACGGGACGACTAGGAAGTAAGAAGAAATAGCAGAGAGGATGTGATTCATACCTCCTCCACCTCCCAGGTGAGCAGACAGAAAAGATGCTGCTGCCAAGGCTTTATTGTTGTTTCCAGACAGGATTCTCTTTAGGGATCTTTGCTCAGCTTACGCCAGGGAAGCCCAATGGACCTTGCTTTAACAAGGAACCAAGAGGAAGTAAACGCAATCACCCCAAGACAGAGCTAATCTGGAGGCATGGGGCTTCTGAGCACATGCCTGTGCTTTCCAAAGGTCACCTGGGTCCGAGATGAGGCCCTCGGGCGTGTTTGTGAGGACAGAGACCTCCTGTCCTTTTCTGCCCTACCTCTCCACTGGGATGTTCAAGGGATTACTACAAGCAGAATCTTGTCAAAAATTCCCTTTTGATCCTCCTTGGGGCTTAGGAGCTGGCTCTGGAATTAGATTAAGAAGCACTGACAGAATGCAGAAGGGAACTAGTGAAGAATCTGGCCTCACAGACTGCATAACAGCAGTAAAATATTGCTGTTTTTTAAAAATTCACGTCACCACTTTTTTTTTGGTGGTTTTTTTTTTGTTTTTTTTTTTTAAAGAAAGACTATATCATTTAAGTAAAAAGCATTCAACTTTAATGAAAGCAGATTTGATATCCTCTAAACATTTGGTAGGTTATTGTGATTCAAATGGATCATAAAACTGATTAATCTAACCCCTTCCCTAATCTCTTTCCAACTTTCAATTTATTTTTTCAAATCCTTTAAAGGATCAAAAGCCTCTCATTGGAATGGTCTTCGTCCTTTTCCTGGAAGGATTCCCCACAGATCCCACAGCCCCATTCCCCCTTTTGCAAAGTTACAGCTAGAACTTCTTCAGCTTCTTCCCTACTTGCACAATTGAGACCATTGAGGATCTGTTCTGCAAAAAATTGAGTACTCTGGAGAGATGCTGAGTGCTTTGGACTGTCACAGAAGTGTTTTTTGATACTGCTTTAGACTTCGTAGGATTGGACTGCTGCTTTAGCACCGTTAACAATGTATGTATTATTTAAACCCCTCCTCCCTTCTTTCCCCCCAACCCAGGAACAGCATTAAACACCTTGTATGAAGGGAATGTTCTTTGCTCATAGAGGTAATAAAGAACTGACTTCTACTTGTGCGTTTCTTACCAATCTAGACAGTGCCCTAGAGCCAGCATAAATAATGCCAACAAACAGTATTGAAGCAGGAAGCCATGATAGGATTTCAGACCTGTGAAAACAATTAAAATCCCATTACTTCACCACATTCTGTTTACATACAGTCAGCAACAGTTGCTTGCAAGGAATATAATAATACATACATATGTACATATATTCCAAAGGTGTGCATATTAAATTCATTGTCTGATTGTACAGAATTCCTCCCATGTAGTAAAGAAGCCTAAGACAGAAATTAATCACTTCATCTAATGCCAGATAGGAGCTATCTGCAGATATATTTTCTTTCTTTTAACCTCTCCCTGCAAAATTGTTTGTTTCATAGCAAGTACTCCTATTGGTTTTAAGGGAGAGAAATTTCAACTATTTCCTTGATGTGCTGTAAAAGGAAGAAAAACTGACAAATGAAGGCAGAAAATGGCATACTTGCACAGACAGCACACATTTTCACTATGTACAAATACACTTGCCCACCCACACATTGATTTCTCAGCCAGATTTACAAAAAGATTCTTCCTAAAGATCAGATTGTCTCTGTGGGAGCCTGTCTCTTGAGATTTCCTAATGATACTCCTTTGTCTAAGCCAAACTCCTAGAGGCAGTTTTACAACTAATGGAAGAATGAAGTCATCACAGATTGATCTGATTTTTTTTTTAGCCATGGTTATTGCAGTAGGGTCAGGTTTCAGTTCTGAGAAGGGGCTTCAGAATTTGCACTTTTCCTTTTTTGATCTTGGTATTTAAGGGGAAAAAGGGATCAGGTAGGTGGTAAATTTCAGAGAGAATAATGTAAGATTTTGAGCAAAGGAGGAAAGGAGTAGCAGTGATCTAAAGGCCTGATCCAAAGGCTTCCCAGGACTGAAGTCACTGCTACCCCCATTCACTCTTCCCAAGCTTTGATCTAAAGTCAAGAAAATGTTAGTGAATAATGCTGGTTCTCAAAAGCAAAGCAAACTGCTTGTAGTTCCTTAATTTGGATTACACTTCCAACTAGCATGTATGAGTTAAAATGTAATTATAGGTACCGCTACATTACCACACTTCATGGAACACAAGAAGAATAGACCACTAAACGATGAAATCAGAACAGTCTGAATGAAGATAAAACATGCCCAAAGATTCATGTAAACACAGACAAGGAAAGAAACGTAAACATCACATCTCCTCTTTTTTTTATACAAAATTTTCTAAGATACTTGATCAAAAACCCAGGGTAATGAAAATAGAGTCATCTTTAGATCCTTTCACTGGTATAAATATTTCTTCTGTTTATTGGGGTAGTCACCATCATTTTTTATAAAAACACTGTTCCTTTTAAGGTTATTGACTTCAACAGGAATTTCACTAAGACCAGGATCTAAAACTGTCATACCTCATTACCAAGAAGTTCACATCAGGAACTAACAAAAGACCCCCATCCTATTGGAACTGCAACAAATGGAAGAAAGGGGGAGGCAAGAAAAGAAAGGAGGGGAAGATGAAAGGAACACATGATGAAAACTGAATTTTCATTTAGAACATAACACTCTTTAAACCCACCACTAAATTCTAGGAATCCCAAATGTATCTTCATCTCCAATGCAATACTGTGAAGTGCAATGGAAAAGGACTTCAGATGCTTTTTCCATGATGTAAGGGTAGAATTTTACGCTGCCAAGTGGGAATTTCAAGACTGAAAAAGAATGCATGGATGTTTGATGTAACACGTCAGCACCAACAATCTGTCTCATATGTAAACCAATTAGTAGCTTCTTATGTTGGCAATACAGTGATGTACATGCAAAACATGAAAGCACAGTGACATAAAAGAACTGATGAGCTTGCAGTTGTAGGGCTAGATCCAAAGCCCACTAAAGTCAATGGGTCGTTTCCCCTAAACCACACTTTGGAGCTTTGGTTTAAGCAAGGCTCTGAGCTGCTGCTTAGCTGTGGGAAAAATTCAGCACTACAAGAAATGCCAACCAGAACACATAGGACTTATGTGTCTACAAAGGTTAGGCAAAAGCTGGGCAGCAGATCGCAGCACTGGAAGCATCATGCAGATGCTACACATATTCCTCTGTGCTCCACAGAGCCCTTGCTTTATGTACAAGTTTTGCAGACAGTCACCATTCACCCTTTAGAAGCAACGATGATGGTGACAGAGTCCCTTACAACTGGGAGTATGGGGGAAAGCAGATGAAAAGCAGGATATCCACAAAACCTAAGAGAAATTACTCTAAGTAATATGCTTTTATTTGGTCTTTATTGTGAAGCTAGTATTCCAGATTTTAGACAACGGGTGACGATCTCTATGTAATAAAATAATTCTGCTGATACACTTTGGGATAACCTGAACTGGCTCAGAAAGCATATGAGATCAGTCCACATGACAGAAATACTGAGACTTTCTGGAAATAAACAAATAAATGGGTGCCAGTTTATTATTTGATGCATGACAAGACTGAGGACTGGATACGGTATTCTTAAGTATCCTACACACACACACACACACACACACAAAAAACCCAGATAGATTCAGAGACCAATATTCTGTAAGGGGGAGGGGGGCAGAAATGTCCTTATCCCAGTGGTAGTACTAAGAAAAATAACCTTTGGAGCGGGAAGGACGTTGAGAGGAAGTGGTAGACAGAAGCTTTGAGAGATTATGTTTGTTTGTTGGGGAGTTTTTTGGTTGGTTTTTGGGGGGAATTGCGGGTTTTGTTTTGGTTTTGTGGGTTTTTTTTTTTTGATACAGGAGATATATGCTACAAGTCCAGTTCAGCAAAGCATTAAAGCATGTGCCTAATTCTTCTGAAGACAGATTTAAATTCATGCTTAAGTAGTTGGCTGAATTATAGCCAAAACATGTCAATTAATTCCGGTCATTTCATTCAGTCTATTCTAGAACAGACATTCTGTATTAGCTAAACTAATGAAGAGGTTTCTCAAGATGTATTTTAATCACTTTTCCTATAGTGTGCTGACATCTAGTGGCCTGAAGTCTCCATCGTCAAAACAAACTAATTTTTCACCAAATAAAAACATCCTCTTCAACAGCAGAAAATGGTTCTTGTCCAGTATTTTCTTTAATGTCTTCCAAGTTTTGAAAAAATGAAAATATCTTTTCCACGCTGGGGGAAAAAGATTCAACCTCTTCAATTTCATGATTTAAAGCAAAAGTAATCATCTAGTGATGAAAAGTTGAACTAAAAAGGACATTACTGATGGCTGTATTCCTCTGTCCTTTAGACTGTTCTGTGAAATCAAAATCTGCATAAACAATATACATTTGGTAATAAAATATATATCAGTCACTGCCACTAAAGCAAGGTTTGGACCCTAATCCTGCCTCTACCAATATCATTGACAGCTTTTACACCAATATCCTCATTTTATCTACACTGCAGATCAAAGATAGGAAGTTAAATTCTGTTTCCATTTACAATTTGACTTAAGTTTCAGCAGTGATGTAGTCACTTGCGTGGACATGAAAACAGAACTTAGCCTGGTTCTTCTGACATACACGCAGAATTTCATTCCAAATGAGGAGATGCAGTTTTGCAAGACAACTGTTTGAATCCCAAACAGAAAATTCATCAGTTGTCACTTGCTGATACAGAATTGCTGAAAAAAGTTAGATTAGAAGGGAACTCTGGCAGTCATCTAGTCCAATCTCCCCCAGCTTCAGAGTCAAGTCACATTACTCGGGTCATTGTCCGGTAAAGTTCTGAATATCTCCAGAGATGGAGATTCAACAATTGCTGTGGGCATACATTTTATAAATTATAACATTTTGAAAAATAAAAAAAGATACACCACGTTCCATACCGCAGAATGGATCCACCTGAGCAGAGTACAGTATGCTGGACAACTCTTCTGAGTTACTGTCACACTCAGTCTAAGCAGATGATCTTTGTCTACAAAGCACCTTTGAATTTGGAGTTTGATTATTACATCAATCCTGTACTGCAATGGCTGCTTTTGCTGCGCGGTTATAAATGCTAGAGCTAGGCAAGGGTGAATGATTCCTATTTACGGGACACACTTCTTAGAGAAAAAGGCAGATCACATTTGTGGACTTCACTGCACTGAGGTTTTGGAGAAAGCGTGTGTCAATGCTCTTAACTAATATTACCAAGGTTTCTCTTATAACACTATAAAATAATCCAGTGAAGAGATGTGGACAGACGGTTGGATAACTTATCCTTACAGTTTTCACTAACAGCTATACTTTTTTGATTGTTTTACCAAGGTTAAATTGAATCCACTTTATATCAGTAATCAGTTGAAGTGTGTGTCATTGAACATTCATTAGGTTAAAACACAAGATTTCTGCTACACCTGTGAAGCAGAACACATACAAACACACACACACCAACTTATATTTTAGCAAGTTAGTAACTTCCACAACCAACTTAACTATGTCGTAACCCAGCTACAGAAAATAAGTATTTTGCAGATAGTGAAAATCCCACAGTACCTTGAACACAAGTTTATCTCCACCCAGCCCAGCTTCCAGGAGACGTGAAGCAGAAGTCCACCCACTAATGTCTGCCACCTGAAATAGAAAAAAACCAGCATCTCTGAATTGTTTGTCCTTTTTAACCACATGGAGCATGATCTTAGAATCCACGGAATTTCTCACAGCACACCCATGACTCTAGTTATCTACTGTTTCTCCAGGTTACCAGGGATGCTATTATTGCCCTTTGAATCTTTCATTTTCATTAGAAATTCCTCCAAATTTTCTAATACTCTGGTTCTTCCACCTCCTGTTTCAAATGTTTTGTAAATTACCATCTACCACAATTACCTTAGTCATGTTACCAAATCCCCATTTTATCACCTCTTCCCACACAAGGTTCACAATAATAATAGTGATGTTACAGCCATGATGATCTGAAGATGCAAGTGAGGCAAGGTTTGTGACAAGAGATTAATATCTTTTCATACATAAACTGTTATTGTTAGAACAAATAAACATGATTTCAGGATTCAAAGACTCGCTTCAGCTGAAGTAATAAGCCCCAGGGATGACGTGTGTAGTCCTAATAGTTTCAAGCATTAGCTCTATGACTTCCCATGGTTATTCATGCTGGGCTTAGATTATAAACTCCCTCAAACTCAGACTGCTTCGCCCCCCTGCCCTGCATCTTGTGTAGCAAGCACCAAGTGAAGTGTCATCAACAATAACATCATTATGCTGCATAAGCCTCTGATTCAGAGCCTCTAGAAAAAACATCTTTACAGCCAGATAACCTTGCATATACAATACTGCAGTTTTCTCATTGAAAAGGTATATAACAATTACATACAATCTGCATTGACTTATCTATCTAATGACTTATCCTACCATAAAGGTGTTCCTTAGTCTATTAGGGAAATAGTATGTGAGGCCTTAGAAATGCTTGCAGATAAGTTAAAATTAGTAGTGATGCACATTGATTTTTTTTCAAGCTTTAAAACAAGTTATTAGCTTCCTTCTTGCTTAAGCTAGTGGTTTTCAGAGATGTGTTTCATATTTCTTGGATGAAAATCCTTGAACATCTAGCATAGCTCAGACAGAGATACTATACTACAATGTTAAATCACATTTACATCTGTAACAGGTATAGAAGTGGTTTTATTTATTATTCCCATTCATTGCAATGCATTTAAGCAATTACTTAAAATCTCTCTCACACATACACAAATAAACAAATATTCACTCTATGCAGTATTACATACAGTTGGACAGTGTCAGAGAAGAGCGAGCTCATTGCCCACATGGGTATGAAAAATATTCAGCACTACTATCAGAGCTCACGTCAACTTTTTTAGATGAGGAGCATATAAGAGCTTAAAAGCCAGGTATCCCTGATGTTTGCTGCAGGCTTGACCGTGCTCTATTCCAAGCCAGTGATGAATTCCCATCAACTTTATTGTAGAGAATTTCCTCTTGTCTCAGGTTTTAGGGACAGAAGTTGAAGTTAGTAACAGTTCCAGATACTTAGCACTATGCAATATAGTCTTAGATTACATAGGGAACAACAGCAATGACAACAAACAATAACAGCATGAACTGAGAATAACACTCTTCCTCCTTTGCTCATCTGTCATAGCTCTAAATGAAAGTGCATCTAGCCACTTAATAATTTTCAAGGAAAGGTCACCTTTAAAAGCCAGAACTTCTGGAAAAATATTAAGATGCTGAGATGCATTTCCAAATAACAGAAAAAGGAAATAACTGTGATAACACAGATACCACAAGGCAGTTGCTTGCCATTGAAATATGCCTTTTTACTGTTTTACCACACTTGCATTTTACATACATTACTCAAAACCCTTTCCCCACATGACAAAAGCCTTGTCCAAGAGACAGTCTCTGTGTGTGTGTCAGAATTGAAGAAAGCATTCGTTGCTTATTTAATAGAGCTGAGTACACTCAGAGAAAATGGAGATTCCCAAGGCAATTATTCCTAGAGTTGTTCGCAGGCCTGGGGCTGCACGTCAGGCAAAAATATAAGCCATGCTAAGTAGCAGTAAAGGAATTAAAGATATCCAGTGTCTTCAGACTTTACCATTACCTCAGAAGAACAAATAGGGGAAGTCTTGACATTAAGAGGCCAGATTTTCCCTAAATGTCTCACAAATTATTAACAGCACTGATGGTATATATGGATATTTGACAATACATTACATTTCTCATTACAATCACTAAGGTACGATAGTGACTTGTGATGCAGAGTTACAATGAAGGCTAAACATGAAAATAAGCATCATGGTATATGTGTACGCCTCAACATGGGTTTAAGGTTGGTTTTCATTAGCATAGCAAAAGAATACACTACAACTGCACATTATCCATGAGTGCCATTTCCAAAGAAGACAGGCTGTACTACAATTGCTACTTTTCTATGCTGAAGCGTAAGACTTTCAGAAAAAATGAGAAATGATGGAGTCTATATACCTTAATTACATCACCATCATGATGTTTAAAAATTAACCAAGACACATTAATGAATGCTTTACTAAGGCTTCATGAAGTATGTTCTATAGACAGCAAAAGCCAGTAACGACAAGAAGTACTAAAGTTAGCTTCAGCATGGAACAGCAAGACATTTACTGATTAAAGTCATTTTTCAAACAACTGTATTCTTAAAATGGTACTTACCCTTGAAAAAGGGTAGGGTAGGTAAATTTCAGGACAGACAGGACATACTGGAAAACAAATACCAAATTAATGGACATCAAACATCTACAGAGTTATAACATTAACAATCACGAAAGCAACAAAACACAGAAAGTTTCTACCAAAATAAAGAAAAATAAAAAGACAAAAAAAAAGTTTTCAGTGATTTCTCTTCCCATGCCAGAACTGCCAGATGCTGCCCCAGTCACCATGGAAGGTAGCAGACACGAAAGTACATGAGGTATGGAGTGGACACGCTGAACGATGGAGAGGAGGCTACCTCCTGAATTGCTCTTTCACTTTCTGAGCACCCTCCATGCATCATACTGAATGAGAAAAGGATTAACAGGAACAAAAAGACATAAGCACTTGTCAATTAAAATCATATCATACCACAGAGGCAACCTTTAGCAGAATCAAGACCAATAATCTTAACATAATTGTCTCCTGATGATTAATTCATCTTAGAGACCTAACATTCTGGTCACACAGCATTTTGTGTAAAATATTAAGCAGTCCATAAAGCCCTTTGGAGATGTAATATATGGGGGAAAAAAGCAAAGCCTCTGTGTCATTGCTTTAGTATGTTTTGTCAGGGTCTGCATGTATGTAAGCTAGTGTCTTTTCCCACTATATATGCAAATATGAGGCAGAAATACATATGCCTTTTGATGTGTATATCAGGATCTAACAATCTCCTGTAATTAAGTATATAAATACTATTTCTGCGAAGGAGAAGAATGACAAGCTTCCTCGGAGGAAAGGTACCTGCCATTCCTTCCAGGAGCCAGCAGAAGTTGTCAATGGCAAAAGGAGAAGCTGAAAGCTTTCAACAGAGAGGAAACTGTGCTGAGCACTTTTCAAGGTCCAGTTTTTAGGTGTGTGGGGTGTCGCGAAGAAGCTGGTATCAATATACAGAGACAAGGCATGTTGATTCACAAAGGGTCATGTTACACCTACACTTGTCTGAACTGCCACATGGGTTTTAAGTCAGGACGATACACCTGCACATGTCCATACTCCCATTGCATTTACATACCACCTGCAACAACGGAAAGGTCAATATTCTGGTTATTTTTAACTTTATTACACTAAAACCTACATTCAGGTTTGAAAATGGAGGAGGCCAAAGTCCTTCCAACTTCCTCTCAAGTATAGTTAAGCCAAGTACCTTTTCCAATGCATGATGCAACCTGGCAGCTCTTCTAGCCCCTTTCTGCTTAACTAATCACTGCTCCTAGCAGTCTGTCAAGTCACGTGTATTATCTCTCCCTATGAACTTCGCTTCGCATCTGGACTTCAGTCTACTTCTGGGCATCCTTGTACCTTTGAATAGAAACTAGTGGCCGATGCTGAGATGAGATCTCATTTTCACCTCCAAAATGTTGCTTTTTTCTAACTCTCCTCTGGAAATCCCTAGTTGCTTCAAAAACATCATTTCTTTCAGAAATCTGCACCAGAAACACAGACACACTCTAATAAATAGGACAGCAAGGAGTAGTTACTCTATCTCCTTCTCCCAGAGTGAACAAACTACTTAAACTATGTTTAAACCATAGAATTTTATCCACAATGTGGCCATCTTCAGCCTACTTCTCCTTCCGCTTAGACCCTTCAGCAATACCAACAGGCAATTGAGTTGCACAGTGGAAAAGAGACTTCATGTCCTTAATTTGCAGGTTAATTAAACTGTCAAAGGGTCCATGGAAGTTACTATTTGTTTCACTACTGCTACAATGCTTTGAATATTTCAGATTTTTCCCTTGGATACTTGGTATTATTGTTCCAGTTAACAGATCTTCTTTTGTGAATGACCGTGCATTCAGTGTTGCTAGATACCCACTAATAAAATACATTCAGCATCACTGATGCTTTCACAGCAGCGTAATTTCTGGCTCTGTAGCTAACATTTCATTCATTTGAATAATACGATGTTACCCTTTTTCTTTCCTCAATATGCCAGTATTGAAACATATGTGTCACGGAAAGGTGAAGATGTCACACGCTGAGAAAAACGAGACCGGCAGAAGACAGCTATATTCCCAATTACGAGTGCACACGGGGTCTTTGGGCTGAAATACCAGGGGTTTTTTTTCACTCGTGGGGTAGTCCTCCTCCGGGAAGGGCTGACCCGCCGGCTCCCCCTGAGCAGGGCAGGGCAAGCAGAGCCCACCGTCCCTCCTCCACCTCTTCCTCCTCCTCCTCCTCCTGGGTCGCTGCACTCACCTCGCCCTCAGGCGCAGCCCCCCGCTCCTGCTACAGCGGATCAACTGCCCAGCGCCCCCGCATTTCCCTCCGCCTCTCCCGGCCCCGGCCCCTCCGAGAGCGGGGTGGCTCCGCGCCCGCCCTCACCT